GGAAGGTGGCTCAGTGGTACAGCGCTTGCTTTGCATGCATGAGGCCCTGGGTTCGATTCCTCAGCACCACATAAGCAGAAAGAAAAAAAAGCCGGAAGTGGCACTGTGGGTCAAGTAGTAGAGCGCTAGCCTTGAGCTGAAGAGCTGAGGGACAGCGCCCAGGCCCAGAGTTCAGGCCCATGACCGGACCCCCCCAAAAAAAATCATAAAAAAACTAAAATGATAAAAAAAAGACTAAGGTGATACTAAAACCTTAAACGTGAATATATGTAATAACAAAGATTCAAAATACATAAAGCAAAGATGGGCTGAATTAAAGGGAGAAATGGACAAATATACATTCAGAGGGAAAGGATTTCAAGGAGACAAAGGCATGAGGGAAAGTCTGAGAAAAAGAAATGGAATAGAGCCATGGGCAGCCAGACTGAAAGAGGGAGGAATCTGTTCCTAAAAAGACACAGAGTTGTCTTGGATCAGACAAGAGGGTCAGGGACTCTGGCTACTGGGTGGGGGTGGGGAGCCCCTTGCAGGGGTAGGTACAGGATGGACAGCGTTACTTACCTGCTGCCCCATAAAGCCTTGGGGGCCAGGTTCCCCACGCAGTCCCTGTATAGTAGAAGAACGCCATTAGCTGTCGCGACTTCTGACCTGGGGCCCCAGGACCCCCCAGAATCTCCCACTTGAGGCCACCTGGGTACTTACTTTCTCGCCCTTCTCTCCAGGGTGCCCAGGGACACCTTTGGGTCCAGTAGGGCCTGGAGGTCCCTGAGGAACGAGACAGGGCCTCAGTCTTGTGGTGGAGTAGGCAGGGGGGTTGGGGCAGTGGTATCAGAGAGGGAGCCCCAGCCTGGTGCGGGCCTCACCATATACAGATTCTTAGCACACAGTGGGCAGCCCGCACAGCTCAGTGTGAAGTGACGGGGGCCCCAGAGTCACAGAGTCCCCACTCCAACCCATGTGCTGGCCATAGTCCTGACAACCTCCACTTTTCTTGGCCTTGGGCAGTAACAATGCTTGCTTCTCTTTACAAGAACTGAATGAGAAGATTTATGGAGCACACTTTGCATTTCAAATGCTCAGTGAGAACTCGGTGAATGAGTGAATTCAGGGATGGATGGACAGATGGCTGAACGGATTCGCACAGGGGTGAGAACACTTGGGAGAATCACTTACCACATGTCCAGGACTCCCAGGGACCCCTGTGGGGCCGGGAGGTCCAGGGGGGCCTGGAATAAGACAGGACACCTTCAGCACTTTCCCCTCATCCACCAACTCCATCTCTTACCCTCGGGCCTAGACTCAACTTACCCATAGGTCCTGGGGGCCCCGGGGGACCTGGGGGCCCAGTTGATCCCTGGGGCCAGTGGCTGCTGGTTTCTATGAAGGTGTTGGACAGTAATGGGTCCCCTGGGTGAGGAAAGGTGGTGAGTGGAGTTACTTGTCTCCTGTGTTATATGTCAGCTCTGACTGCCCCACAGGACAGCCTGTTGATCTGAGAGTGTGGAGCATGCGGGACCAGACAGCAAGAAGACTTTGGTTTCTAATCCCATTGTAGTCTAGCTGGTAGCATCTAGAAGGATGACTTCCTTGACTGCCTGTACTGTCACCAGGGGCTTGGGCAGGAAGAGGGATCCGTGGGATTCAGTGATTGGTGGAACAGAGAATGAATGAACACATCGTGTCCCCGCATGCACACAGTCACAGCACAGAAGGGAGGGACCTGGCCTTCCACACTTTGACCCCGGGCAGCCCATGAAGGTGCCACTGGGACTGCCAGAGAGAGGGGTTGGGGATGCACGTCAGGGTCAGCGAGTGGGGCTGGAGCCTCTCCAAGTACAGGGGCCAGGGCTGTGGCCTTGGATGCTCTGCGCTGGCTTCCTGCCATCAGGCCTTGAGCTTCCTGGCACTCTGAGGGTTCCAAGGCCTGGGGAGGGCCCGATGCCAGCAGGTTCTGAGCATCTGGCGCTGAAGTAGTCCCCCTTACCTCGTCCCCGTCTGTGTGATCAGAGCATGCGACCTCCCCTCCCTGGCTGCAGCCGCCCTCCTCTGTGAACAGAGAATGACAGCACCTGCCAGACAGCTGGGTGCCATGAGGCCTACCACGGGCAAGCCTGGCACACAGCAGGCCCCTGATAGATGGTACCTGATGCCACGGTGATATTTACACCAACCTTATCCACCCCTATTTCACCCTGCTGGGACCCCAGGGGAACTCACCATGCTGGGAGATCCGGCTGTGGGGTGGTCCAATAGGTGCTGGGGGTCCTGGGGGACCAGGAGGCCCTGGGGGGCCCGGAGGTCCCATCTCTCCAGGGGTGCCGGCAGCTCCCACCTGGCCAGGGCTTCCAGGGGGGCCCTGTGGACCTGCAGTGGAGATCACAGGGGCGGGGGGACATAGGGAAGGGAGAAGCTGGGAGGCCTCGAGGGGTCAGGACAAGGCAGCCGGGGCAGCCGGTATAGGCGAAGGTTCCGCATCTTTGGACTAGGAAGGGGTGGACATGGCCCACACATCCTCCTGTCCTTCATCCTATCCATCCTGGCCCATGCTTTCTTCTCTCAACCTCTGAGGTTTCCATGTTTCTTCTTGGAAGCATGGTCAAGGGTGGGGGGCCCTGGTGTTTCTCCAAGTGGGCTAGCTGCTCCGGGAAAGCAGGATCTGGGTTGACCCCACCCTACGCTTAGTGCATGTAGGTTCCCAAGGAGGGGACAGGTCTGAAGGGCACCCCCTAGAAGGATGCTGAGCAGAGAGGAGAGGGCTCAAGTGTTTGGGAGATGGCATTGCGGGCACTCACCTGGTGGGCCCCTCATTCCCACTGGGCCCTGGCTGCCAGTGTCTCCCTTGGGGCCAATGGGCCCAGGCAGCCCCCGAGTTCCAGCTCGATCTGCAGGGGATGTACAGAACATGAGCTTGACAGCTTTGGACTTACCTTTGACCCCCCTGCCCCCAGCCCCTCAGCTAGTACCTACCATCTCGAGGGAGCAGTGGGGCCCTCAAACTCTCTCTGGCTCCTAGCAGCCCTGGAGGTGGGGATTAGGCAGGAGTCAGGATCCTTGCTGGGTCTGGGAGAGAGGGCGCCAGCCCGATTCCCCTCCCTCAGTTGTCCTCTGGGTAGGGGCTGCTGCTGCTGGCCTCCCAGGACTCTTGGGTTCCCTGCAGACCCCCGGCTCCCCGGGGGGATAGGACATGCGCCAGTGTCTTCCCACTTGGGGATGCATCCCCCAGATCATCCACTCACCCCGGAGGCCTTCATCTCCTGGGCTTCCCTGAGCAGCTGGGGAACCCCAGAGTGGAGCAGGGTTCTCAGGGGTAACTGGGCTTGGGGACACCGCCTGCTCTGTGACTGACAGCACAGCCACCTATGGAGGAAAAAGAAGAGGACTGAAGTTCAAAGGCAATGCAGGCAGGAAAGGCTGTGAGATTCCATCTCCAATTAACCAGCAAAAAGCCAGGCTGGGGATGTGGCTCAAGCACTACATTACCAGCTGAGCAAGCACAAGGCTCTGAGTTCAAACCCCGGTACCACCAAACCAAAGGTGAGCGTGTACACCTGCCAGCCCTGCTACTTGGGAGGCAGAGGCAGGAGGATTTCCTTTTTTTTGGTGGTCCAGTCGTAGGGCCTGAATTCTGGGCTTGGATGCTGTCCCTCAGCTCCAGCTCAAGGCTAGCGCTCTACCACTTGAGCCACAGCGCCACTTCCGGCTTTTTTCTTTTTTCTTATGTGGTGCTGAGGAATCGAACCCAGGGCC